CCATGCCTCGGTTCTGACACTAAGGTTAGAGCCGATTTGAAGAGTGTTCGATCCACTCCAAGTAAGATCGATGGCGACTCCCAAAAATGCCGACGCGACGACATTCGGACCCCCCCCCGGACGGGACGGTTTCGACACCTGGGCTGGAAGCGACTTTTCCCAAATCTTTCGCGTGGCTGTGCAATCTCTCAGGAAGTGCATATTTGTCTCAGCTGCTTCTTTACAAAGCTGACAAGTATCGTCAGTAGTCAGGTGACAAAAATTATGAACACTGTTAGTAGACAGTTTTCCTTTAGCAGCGAGCTAGGTAAAGAAGCGGACTCTCTATGGGCAGTTGAGCCTCCATATCTTCCACCAGTCAATGCGCCCTTGGTTAGCTTGATCAGGCATCATGGCTTGATATGCCGAGTTCGCGCTAAACCTGCCATTGGGAGTAATTCTCCAAACAGAGTGTCACAATCACTGGTCATAGGATCCAGCCAAACATCTCGCATTTTATCAATGATTTCGGGCGGAAGGTAGGGCTGAATCTCCTAAAAATTCCATCCGGTGCTCGCGTCCCAGTAATCAGCAACCATTTTGTCTCTGTACGCCAAAGGGACCTCCGTCGTCGCTAGCTCCACAAGCTGTTCCTCCATAATCCACACATCATACTAGAACTTAGTGCCATGCCCATTTTTAACATTATAAGCAATCCCTTTTCTCAAGAGGTTCACAGTTTGGGAAAAACTGTTCAATGCAAAGGAACTTCCCTTTATTTTACTGAGAATGTGAATCCCCTTCCTATTCCTCTCATATTTGCTCCTTATTGCTCAGGCCCAAAGAGTTTGATCATCCGACACCAGGCTCCAGGCCCCTTTGGGCATGGTACTTCTCGTCAACCCGACCTACCCAGACCGCCCCATTCTCGACCTGTTCTTGCCTAAATTACAAGTAAGCTTAGTCAAATTATTTAGAATTTTCCTCTTATTACCTCATATTTTAGCTATAATAAAGTTATAAATAAGTGAAAACCTCAATTTCTCCAATACTTTCACTACGTTTTATCATATTATGGTTTCTTTCTTGGTCTTTAAATGAAAACTAGCTATTGACCCGGCCCGTTGGCCGAATTATTGTAAGTTACCGACTTGTGGAATGGGGAAGTGAGATAGAGCAGGAGAGCATCTATTTGAGTCAAACTCACAATTTGGGTCTATTTGAGTCCATATAATTATACATATGAAACAATAATATCGACCATCTAGCTATACAGTAAAGAAATTTTCAAAATTTACATTAGATTTGGGTGTTCATTTTCTTTTGTGTAGCTAGTGTAATGAATATAATTTAGACCCAAACTGAATGGTTGTTTATTGGAATGATCCATAAGTGATATTACCAAATATGATTTGACTGGTCTTAAATTGGGTATGAGATGGATGTTTTTTTGCCATTCATGGAGGAGGGAATTTTTAAGGCCTCGTTCAACATTAGTTGTTCAATCACCACCACATCCACCGCTAAGGTATCACTTACCCATGAGACTTTTTAATTTATTGCGAAATGAGATGATCTAAATTCCTTCAGTTTTGGGTTTCAAATTAGAAAATTGGCAATCACTTATTTACATAGAATTCATCTCCTACTTTTAAATGTGCGAGATTTAAAGTTTCTTTATCTAAATTTCATAGCAAACTATGAACATGAAAACAGAAGCAGAGGTGAGTAAACAACTAAAGATCACAATTCTTGTAGTTTTAGTGGTATGAAAATACATTTGAGCTCATAGATCAATTAAGTGCATCTCATCTTTCATTGAAAATTAAGCGAAATGTAGAGAGTCATTCACTGTTATATAAATGTATTTGAGTAAATTATGTTTGTGTTAGGGGTAAAGGTCGAGAAGGCCACGCGACACACATAGGCTTTCCACTCAATTACCCAAAAAAACCGCACTACTCCGATATGATCCGCGGAACTTCCAATCGCGGATCCCGCATAAAGTTCTGCGTAACTGAATTCGCGGAAGGAATGCCAGTGGGCCCGCGTATCTATCTCTGACCACCTTGTCTTATCATCGGGATTTGCCCACCAAACCCAGAGAGGCTATAAATACCATATTTACTACACTTAGAAAGGGGACTTAGGGGTTTTCTCTCTACCCTTCTCCCTAGATTTTCCCCTTGTAGCCTCCCAATTGCAATCTCTCCCTCAGTATACATTCGAAGGTTAATCTGGAATCAAGAGCGGTATATGTTCTCTTGTCGAATCTACGTTATGTCCCCTGAATTACTGTACAAACTTCCTACTCTCAGTCTTGCACAAACAGTTTGGAAACTGATATTACATGCAGTTCAAAAGGTTATATATATATATATATTAGAGGAGTATATTACACCTATAACCCATTAAGAAATATACAATAAATTTGTTTAGTCTAATTTGTTATGACCAAAGGCTGTCACTCGATTTTCACCAATGACTTATTTAAGCAAGTGGGTTAGAATTAATGACCGAATTAGATTAACTTGGTTTAGCCTAGCTATACCCAGGTATTTGAAATTTTTTATTGGTTCGACATGTATTATGCTTAGATATTTATGAAATTTCTATGATAAATTTAGATACAATGATGATTTAATATAACTTATTCATTGGGATTGAGTTTTTTTATATTTTTCTCCCTTGGAAATTACGGTCAAAGCGAACCCCTTCGTTCCGAAATTCTAAATTTCTTCCCTTTTTAATCTTTTTTTCATTTCATTTTATAGTTTTTTCTTTCCTTCTTTGCATTGCATATCATATTCCATTCTCAATGTTTTTTTTCTACTCTTCTTCTCTAATTCAATTTCAAGTGTATATACAAATGAGGACATTGGTCTATGTTAATCACACAAAGTCTCAATTCAAATATATGTTCATCTAAACTTTTTGCTATTCTTTGTATGAGATGTGGTTCATTGGAGTTGTGACCTTGTGGCTGGAAGGAAAATGGAATTGACTACTGAGGAACTATGTTAGCTTTTGAGATGGTTGAGGTTTGTATTGTTGCCTGCCGATACTAAAGGAGGAAGAAGATCTCATGGGATGACTTAACACGAGTGGTTGATGTACGCTACTGCATGGTTCTATGATAAAGAAAAGGATGACATGTCAACAATGCTAGTGATCAGATTTATTGAAAATGATGTCGGTTTGAAGTGACTCAATTCTCATATGAGTTAGTTGAATCGACTTGATTTCCTAATTTCAGTGGGTTTCCTGGATCGGCCAAGTTTGGGTTGATAACCAACTCGGCCTCAAGCATCCTAACCGATACTCGGTTTGGGCTAAACTTATTCGACCAATGGGTTGAAAATCATGCTTATAATTCTTGTCTTCTCAATTAAGATACATTGGTTCAAATTTCAATACTTGTCTATTTTTTATAAAGAAATATGTTTAATAATTGTGACGGAAAATTGGATAAGAATTTTCTCATTCCAATCTTATATATTGTATTGTGTGTAGATGTAAAGACGTAGACATATGTCATTTCCTTAGAAATTCATTAACATTTAAAAAACGGTGAAATGAACCAATAATTACATCCAATCTTGTACAATGATCATTGGATCGAATCACACCGAATTAGGAACATGTTTAAAAGTTAGTGGTGAACCCAACTTAAACGTTAAAAAACCCCTCTCATATAGTCTACACAACAATATGATTTCTCCATAGTAATTCTAAAAATTAATACTAAAATAAAATTTTGACATTGCTTCCACCTACTTAATACTCCAATTTGATATGCAACCAAGTTATATTTGGGTTGCAATTTTAAAATTATTCACTATTTATAACATACATAGAACCGCAAATTAAGTATTAAATTACAATTAAAATAATCAAAATATGAAAACCAAAGTATCAAATCACCAAATAAGTACTTATGAGAGATTTAGTGGCTAGCTAACCGTGTAAAAGTCCTATGATTTTTCAGATGCTAGGTTTGTGTATGTTTTTCTCTTAAAAGATATAACAAATATGTGTAGAGTGATTGGTTGTAGCTCTTCCCTCTCTTTAAAGTGCTCATGGTTCAAATCACCATAAGTATCCCTTTTTTATAAATGAATAAGAAAGAAATAAGTAGCTGTGAAGACAAAACTACCCTTCCTACATTCACTCTCGATGCAGGAAATTTGAAATGGAGCAATGGGTTTTGGCTTTCACCTTTAATAATACTAGCTTATAACCCGGCCCTTTGGCCGGAATGCTCATATTTGATTATTTGTATTTTTATGTTACTTTTAAGTCTATTAACCCGTTTAATCTTATTGGTAATCATTCGATCGAGATGATACATAAAGAAATAATATATAGGTCGAACATTCGGAAATATATCATTATCATTTAAGAATATAAAATATAAAAATGTATCATTGACCCCATTTTCATAATGCTAATTAAGTCCCTGTTAAAATGCTATTGGTTAGTTTGTTTTATTACAGTCAAGAAATATAGAGTATAAAAGTTCACTAAAATTGTCACACGACCCATAGATAGTTTGAAACTAAATCTTAAACCTCACAATCCTATATAAAGGGTTCAATGCTCTCCTTTTAGAAACAATATGTCACTAATAAAAAAGAAATGGAGAGTTGTTGATTCAAGTCATCTATATACTAAAAACTCAGCTAAGAGGGGACCATCACAACTTGAGAGCAAACGAAAAAATCAGGGTTATCTCCAATATACGAATAGACTCGATCATAGTAATAAGGTGCAAAATTAGACATCCTTATCTATTAGTTCTAGTAGGTTGAATAAAGAAGCAACCTATTTCAAACAATCAATCAATGATTCCTCGTTTTACGATAGAAATAGGTTGTGACAGTTGCAAAAACCATAAACCTAAAGATCCAATTGTAACATCCCGTTTCGGCTAAAATCGTATTTCGATCGCTAGAAAGTTCGCGATTTAAAATCGAGCATTTCGACACTATTTCGACGAAAATCGGATTATCGATCGATCGGATAAGTATACGTATTAATTATATATATATGACTTTATGTATGATAGACCATGTTAAGGGTAAGTAAGAGGAGTTAGAGTACGACTCAAGGTTAGATTTCGGGGACGAAATCTTTTAAGGAGGGGAGAATTGTAACATCCCGTTTCGGCTAAAATCGTATTTCGATCGCTAGAAAGTTCGCGATTTAAAATCGAGCATTTCGACACTATTTCGACGAAAATCGGATTATCGATCGATCGGATAAGTATACGTATTAATTATATATATATAAAGTCATTACCTAACTCTTAGGTTAGGCGATTTATAACATAGAAAGTAACACATAACACCTCAAGTTCCCACGTTTAGGTTTCAAAAACCTGTACTGGGCTATCACAACAAAAGCACATCAGCAAGTTCAAAACATAACTTATTAGGCAAGATTGTTAACCTGCAAAGTAGGTTGCTACTAACTCAGGGTACTTCTCTCGCATACTTGTTTCAGTTTCCCAGGTAGCACTCTCACTTTCTTGATTTCTCCAAACCACTTTCAACATTGGGATTTCCTTCCTACGAAGATTCTTAATCTGGTAATCAATAATCTCAACTGGAACCTCTTCAAATGTCAAATCTGAACCCAACTCGATCTCTTCTGGTTGTATAACATGGGAAGGATCCACTTTGTACCTCTTCAGCATACTCACATGAAATACATTGTGGATTTGAGATAGTTCTGGAGGCAATGCCAACTTATAAGCCACTGGTCCAATCTTCTCTGTGATTTCATATGGCCCAATATATCGAGGTGCAAGCTTTCCTTTCTTACCAAATCTCATCACCCCTTTCCATGGTGACACTTTGAGAAATACTTTCTCACCCACTTCGAAATTAAATTCACGCCTACTCGTGTCAACATAAACTTTCTGTCGATCTTGAGCCACCCTCAACCGCTCCCTGATTTTCTTGACCTTGTCAACTGTGATCTGGACTATCTCTGGCCCTGAGATTTGCCTTGCTCCTTCTACATCCCAACATAATGGTGTTCTACACTTCCTCCCATAAAGTGCTTCATATGGTGGAACACCCAAACTACTATGGTACTGGTTGTTGTAAGCAAACTCAATTAAGGGCAAATGGTCAATCCATGATTCTTCCCATTGCATTACACATGATCGAAGTAGTTCCTCCAAAGTTAGGATGGTTCGTTCACTCTGCCCATCTGTTTGAGGATGATAAGCTGAAGTAAAATGCAGTTTAGTTCCCAAGGCATCATGTAAACTTTGCCAAAACCGAGATGTGAAGCTCGGGTCTCGATCAGAGACAATAGAAATTGGCACACCATGCAATCTGACGATCTCCTTAATATATAGTTGAGACAAAGTCTCCAGTGATGGTTTCCATCTAATGGGTAAAAAGTGAGCCGATTTGGTCAGTCGGTCCACAATAACCCATACTGCATCTTTTCCCCTTGATAATGGGAGACCATATACAAAATCCATTGTGATTCTTTCCCACTTCCATTCTGGAATTGGAAGTGGTTGCAGTTTTCCCACGGGAGCTTGATGTTCTGCCTTAACTTTCTGACATACTAGACATGTGAAAACATGTTCAGCCGCTTCCTTTTTCATCCCACGCCACCAAAAATATGGTTTGATCGTGTGATACATTTTAGTTGCTCCTGGGTGCATAGCATAAGCAGAAGAATGAGCTTCATCTAGGATCTCTTTCCTCAAGTTATCAACATTAGGAACACATGCTCTTCCATTAATCTTCAACATGCCATCTACCATTTCAAATGGGCTTTCTTTTCCTTCCCCAATGTCTTGAATGATTTTTACCAACTCTGGGTCCTCCTTCTGCTTCTCACGAATTTTGTCATGCAACAAAGGTCGAATGTTCAACCGAGCTAGTAACCCTGTTACACCATCCACTTCCAAATCCACATTCATTGCCCTCAAATCAACCAGATCATTTATATTCTTCTTCCCCTTTCTGCTCAGAGCATCAGCAACTACATTAGCTTTACCTGGATGGTAATCAATGGTACAATCATAATCTTTTAACAACTCTATCCATCTCCTCTGGCGACTATTTAAATCCTTCTGATCCATAATATACTTCAAGCTTTTGTGATCAGTTAGAATTTTAAAAGTCTCACCATACAAATAATGTCGCCAAATCTTGAGAGCAAATACCACCGCTGCCAATTCTAAGTCATGAGTGGGATAATTTACTTCATGAGGACGCAATTGCCTAGAGGCATATGCGATAACTCTTCCATCTTGCATAATCTAATACTGGCGGTCTTGCATCAACCGCCCCCACTCCTCTCGACTGGTCAGTAGGAACATTTTCACAACTTCCGTGCGAGCTACAAGGAAATATTGGCCTTAGATTGATCCACACAAAATTCATTCTTCACCAAATCTCTCACTTGGTTAAAACAAAATTTTCCCTAAATAATTACTTGAAAACAAATACATTAAAAACTCAATTTTGAAAACCATGATGCAGATAATTTCATCCAATATACCAATACACATAATCATGTCAAACTCAATTCCCAGTTTAAGTCATTATGGGGCACTCCCCTCCTTAGGAGTGTTTAACCTCCCATAGGGTATAGTACGCCATAACAACAAAATTCCAAAGCTCAAAATCTTGAGCCCTAGTGATCCAAAAATCCCGTAAGTAATGTCTAATTCATCTATACATCGTGATTTATCGATTTAGAGCTTTAAAACGAGTTTTTGGTTCAGGAATTTCTTGAATTCCCGATCTGCCAAATTAGGGTTTCGGAGTATCCGGAAGCCGGATTGAGCCCAAATTTCATATACGAGTTTCTTGCAGCGAGGTAATCAATCCCCTAGTTCTAATCCCTGAATTTCGGCTATTATTTAGGCCGGGGTCCAAACCGCTGAATTTAGCTCCGGCCAGGGTTTGATGTGTTTTTATCGAGAATTTGACCCGGAGCCTAGAACTAATATTGACGGGGATACTGCAGGGGATATTAGGACGGTCTCGGATTTTAATTCGGGGTTCGTTCGTGAAATTGACGTTTTAGTACGGGAAGCTTAAACCGGTGTTTGAACGACCAGAACTGGTGAGGGATTAGCACGGCATACCGGGTTTGTCGTATCACGATAATTATATTGATGCTTAGAATTGATCTAGGTGAACTAGAATGGCATGATTAGGGGTGTATGGACTTTTGTGCTATATGATGAACCCTGGACTACTGTATGATATTATTGACTTGCTCTAATCGATATGAACCTTGTTGATGTGGATGATTTCCTACATGTTGCCATTTGTGGCTTAACTGTTGATATGACTTTATGGTTGTTCGATAAGGGTTTTTGACATGGTGTGATATTATGGTTGTATTTGGATCCATAAGTGGGGGAATAAACTTCCCAAGGTGATATTATGATGTTTAAGGAGGATGACTTGCACGAGGGTTTATCCCGAGGAAGTGCAATTATACGACTCCTGATTTACCTATGTTGAGCCAATTATGGTCAGGTCAAGTACACGTGCAAGTAACGAATTGTGATTAAGCAAGATGAGATATGAATCATGTACAAGGATACCAAATATGAGTGTTGTGGTCTCACGGTCAACTACATAGTAATTAGGGCTCCCTATGCTATTACTCTATTATGATATGTATGATAGTCACACCTCTCATGTGGTGGTGACTGAAGAATTCTTATGAGATATGACCACACCCAGAGCGGTGTCGGGGTATGACTACACCCATAGTGGTGTGGGGTATGTATGACCACATCCGACGGGATGTTGGGGTATGTATGACTACATCCGACGGGATGTGGGGTATGTTTCCCGGGAGAGTTATTAGCATGGGAGTAGCCAGGCGCCTATGATTAAAACATGATAAGATGCATATGCATAAGTCAAAGTGGTTGAGTCTTTTGCTTATTGGGATATGAGGATGGCTGAGGTCCGATCCTAGTGTTTTGGCTCGTTTGCTAGATGTATGGTAGGGGTATGCTCTGTTATGAACTCACGATGCTATGATTATCTCACTCAGCTATGAGCTGACCCTCTTTTATTCTTGTTCTCTGCTTATGCTATGTGTAAGCAGATCATCAGCAGCAGCAGTAGATAAGTGTTAGGTGGGAGAGGAGCTAGAGTTGAAGCCAGGATGAGGTATGGTCTTCAACTATTCTGTGCTTGGACTACTACTCGGGATTTTGGCCAGTGATCCACACCTTTTTGTAAAAATGTTTTGAGAACGTTTTTCATGTGCATACTAGCTTCTGATGTAGTGTGAGATATCCACGGGTGTGGAAAGTTGATACCAAACTGTAACACCCTACCCAATACGTTTTGCCTAATCATATTTTTCATACAATTGCAGTGGAATTAATCTCGGGTGTTACATTAATTATCAAAATTTACCTAGATAAAATTTCGACATGAATTACTCGCGTAATGGGCTAACAGTTCTTGCAACTTATCCTGCAAAATAATTCATCACAACATATATACTCACAACCATAAGTATTGGCTTTCATAGCCAAAGTCACAGTTTCATACTACACAACTGCATACTATACTGATACAAGCCATAATCGTCACAACTTACATAATTACAAAAATATACACATATCATCAACTTTCCACACCTGTGGATATCTCACACTACATCAGAAGCTAGTATGCACATGAAAAACGTTCTCAAAACATTTTTACAAAAAGGTGTGGATCACTGGCCAAAATCCCAAGTAGTAGTCCAAGCACAGAATAGTTGAAGACCATACCTCATCCTGGCTTCAACTCTAGCTCCTCTCCCACCTAACACTTATCTACTGCTGCTGCTGATGATCTGCTTACACATAGCATAAGCAGAGAAGAAGAATAAAAGAGGGTCAGCTCATAGCTGAGTGAGATAATCATAGCATCGTGAGTTCATAACAGAGCATACCCCTATCATACATCTAACAATCAAACCAAAACACTAGGATCGGACCTCAGCCATCCTCATATCCCAATAGGCAAAAGACTCAACCACCTTGACTTATGCATATGCATCTTATCATGTTTTAATCATAGGCGCCTGGCTACTCCCATGCTAATAACTCTCCCGGGAAACATACCCCACATCCCGTCGGATGTAGTCATACATACCCCAACATCCCGTCGGATGTGGTCATACATACCCCACACCACTATGGGTGTAGTCATACCCCGACACCGCTCTGGGTGTGGTCATATCTCATAAGAATTCTTCAGTCACCACCACATGAGAGGTGTGACTATCATACATATCATAATAGAGTAATAGCATAGGGAGCCCTAATTACTACGTAATTGACCATGAGACCACAACATTCATATTTGGTATCCCTGTACATGATTCATATCTCATCTTGCTTAACCATAATTCATTACTTACACATGTACTTGACCTGACCATAATTGGCTCAACATAGGTAAATCAGGAGTCGTATAATTGCACTTCCTCGGGATAAACCCTCGTGCAAGTCATCCTCCTTAAAACATCATAATATCACCCTGGGAAGTTTATTCCCCCACTTATGGATCCAAATACAACCATAATATCATACCATGTCAAAACCCCTTATCGAACAACCATGAAGTCATATCAATAGTTAAGCCACAAATGGCAACATGTATGCAATCATCCACATAAACAAGGTTCATATCGATTAGGGCAAGTCAATAATATCATACAACAGTCCAGGGTTTATCATATAGCACAAAAGTCCATACACCCCTAATCATGCCATTCTAGTTCACCTAGGTCAATTCTAAGCATTAATATAATTATCGTGATACGACAAACCCGGTATGCCGTGCTAATCCCTCACCAGTTCTGGTCGTTCAAACACCGGTTTAAGCTTCCCGTACTAAAACGTCAATTTCACGAACGAACCCCGAATTAAAATCCGAGACCGTCCTAATATCCCCTGCAGTATCCCCGTCAATATTAGTTCTAGGCTCCGGGTCAAATTCTCGATAAAAACACATCAAACCCTGGCCGGAGCTAAATTCAGCGGTTTGGACCCCGGCCTAAATAATAGCCGAAATTCAGGGATTAGAACTAGGGGATTGATTACCTCGCTGCAAGAAACTCGTATATGAAATTTGGGCTCAATCCGGCTTCCGGATACTCCGAAACCCTAATTTGGCAGATCGGGAATTCAAGAAATTCCTGAACCAAAAACTCGTTTTAAAGCTCTAAATCGATAAATCACGATGTATAGATGAATTAGACGTATACTTATCCGATCGATCGATAATCCGATTTTCGTCGAAATAGTGTCGAAATGCTCGATTTTAAATCGCGAACTTTCTAGCGATCGAAATACGATTTTAGCCGAAACGGGATGTTACACCAATAGCCACGACTCACCGTTGTACAACCAAATTTCTATCTCAAGTGGCATATATCAAACCAAAAATTCAATTTCTAATCCTCCTTCTACAACTCCAATTATTGATGAACTCCATTCTATTCCCCATGGATTGATATCGGAGTTGAAATCTTCTACTCGCCCAGCTTAAAATCCCCAACAATAAAACCGTAGTGCCAAGAGATACCCGAAGATTGATTTTCAATGAAATTCTTGTATTGGGAAGTGAAAGGCGCAAACTATTGCACGATGGATGAAATTTCGGAGGAAGTTAGCCAATTACCCATTTACCTTTAGCAAAAATTAAGGAGAGAGCGAGAATTTAAAATTGAGAAAATTACATGAAACTCTACTATGAAAATAGAAGTATCAAGCTCGATAAAAAGGCATACGGTAGACTTAGTGAGCTTGCTAATTATGATGAAAAAGTCCTCTGATTTTCAGAGATTAACTTTGTCTATGTTTTGTATAAAAAAGGATGCAATAAATTTGTTTAGTGTAACTGGTTGTGATTGTTATCCTTGTTTAAAGAGACCCGGGTTCAAATCTTGATTTTGCTATTTTTATATGAAATAAATAATAAATGTGTAAAGACAAAAATGACCTTCCTACTTTCACTCTCGTTACAGGAAATTTATAATGGAGAAAATTACACAAAACTCTACCATATATTAATGGAGGATGTGTTGATAACAAATATTTATAATATTTTTCACATAAATTACATACTCATTGGGTCGACCTGTGCCGACCCGCGTCCCATGATAAAGTACCCGACTTAGACCCGACCTGCCACGAAACGGGTAAGGGTATCGAGATACCTGACCCGGACCTGCCCCATTGCCATTCCTACTTGTCTCGCTAGCAAAACTGAGCTTACCCTACGGAAAAACCGCTTTACACAACACATAAAATGTGTTGCAACCAGTGACAAGTGTTTCATATTTCATATGTAACACACTATGTATAAATGGTGTTGTATAATGGAATATGTACTTTTTTTTTTTTACTTTTTGTAATGAAAAAAATATTGTGTGACATATGTATACTTTGTTAGACTATCATTTTACGCAACACCTAAGTATGTATGCAACACTTTTTAACTAGTATAAGCAACATGTATGTATTTAATTCGTGATGGACTTTCTCGTCATATTAAACTTAATTACCAACACCATCATATTTTTTTTGTTTAACAAATGCTATACATTCGTTATTCGTTACTACATTGTTGATTGATATATATATTGGCTTCTATTGTACTTTGAGTAAAATCAAAGATATAGTATACCTTGAGTAAGAAAATGATATTTACACATTGAATTGACAAGATTTTGGGGCATGATACTCTATCCTAATCTTTAATGAGCGAGGGCTAGGTCTTAGTTATCTAAATCGTAGACCTTAAACCCCAAATTTGTGCATGTAATTTGTTGCATATATTTCGATAAATCATGACTATCGATTTTTGTTTCCAATTATATTGATTTTAGTGTATGAAATTTATAGAATTAAGATGCATATTTTAATATGTAAGGATAATAAAAAGTATGATGTTACAGACTCTGGTAAGTTCAAGGTGACAAGGTATAGATATCATTTTTTTTACTCAACGTATACTATACCTTTGTTTTTACTCAAAGTACGATAGAACCGCCCACATATACAGTGGCGGAGCCACTTGGAGCCAAGGGAGGTCCTTTGCACTACCTTGGCTTCAAAATGTATTAGTAACCAACAAAATATAGTAATAATCTTTTGACGTAATTGTGGATTGAACACAAGATCTTCCTATTATTGTAAATAATTGGATAAATACTCAAAAAATAGTCAAATTGTGGACAAAAATAGTCAAATCTTTATGAAATACCATTAAATAGTCACACCTTCTGTGATATTAGACAAATATAGCCATTCGTTAATTTTTCCGTTAGTTATGCTGAGGTGGCTCTCGTCAATTTCTCTGCTATTTCTTTTATATATGTTTGACTAGCTATTGACCCGGCCCGTTGGCTGAATTATTTTAAGTTACCGACTTGTGGAATGGGGAAGTGAGCTAGAGTAGAAAAGCATCTATTTGAGTCGAACTCACAATTTGGGTCTATTTGAGTCCATATAATTACACATATGAAACAATAATATCGACCATCTAGCTATACAGTAAAGAAAATTTCAAAATTTATATTAGATTTGGGTGTTCATTTACTTTTGGGTAGCTAGTGTAATGAATATAATTTAGACCTAAACTAAATGGTTGTTTATTGGTATGATCCATAAGTGATATTACCAAATATGATTTGACTGGTAATAAATTGGGTTTGAGATGAATGTTTTTTGCCATTCATAGAGGAGGGAATTTTTTAGGCCTCGTTCAACATTAGTTGTTCAATCACCACCACATCCATCTCTAAGGTATAACTTACACATGAGACTTTTTAATTTATTGCGAAATGAGATGATCTAAATTCCTTACTTTTTAATTTATTGCGAAATGAGATGATCTAAATTCCTTCAGTTTTGGGTTTCAAATTAGAAAATTTGCAATCACTTATTTACATAGTTTTCATCTCCTACTTTTAAATGCGCGAGATTTAAAGTTTCTTTATCTAAATTTCATAGCAAACTATGAACATGAAAACAGAAGCAGAGGAGAGTAAACAACTAAAGATCACAATGCTTGTAGTTTTAGTGATATGAAAATATATTTGAGCTCATAGATCAATTAAGTGCATCTCATCTTTCATTGAAAACTAAGCGAAATTTAGAGAGTCATTCACTGTTATATAAATGTATTTGAGTAAAATATGTTTGTGTCAGGGGTAAAGGTTGAGAAGGCCACGCGTCGCACTTAGTCTTTCCGCTCAATTACCCAAAAAACCGCGCTACTCCATTATGATCCGCGGAACTGCCAATCGCGGATCCCGCATAAAGGTTCCGCGTAACTGAATCCGTGGAAGGAATGCCAATGGGCCCGCGTAACCTCCCAAGTGTAATCTCTCCCTCAGTATACATTCGAAGGTTAATCTAGAATCAAGAGGGTTATATGTTCTCTTGTCGATCTACGTTAAGTCACCTGAATTATTGTGCAAACCTCCTACTCTCAGTCTTGCACAAACAGTTTGGAAACTGATATTGCATGCATTTCCAAAGGATAGTAGTGAATAAGAGAGTATATATATACACTATGCAGTCGTACATTGTACGCCCGTCGATTTTTACTATATAGAGCCCGATTTAACCGGAGTTTGGGGCATGATACTATACCCTAACCTCTAATGGGTGAACCCCAGTCCCTAATTCCCTAACCTAAGACCCAAGATTCATTTAATCTAAAAACTAATGACCAACGGTTCTGATTCAGCGAAATATATTGAAGTGCAAAAACCAAGTGTGAACACAGGCATACAGCGCACGTCAGTCGTACGCTAGCCTTTGCCATATATATATATGTGGCTACTTCGGTGCACTCACAAAAATGAGTGCGTTCAATACACCCAACTCAAAAACTAGTCTTAAGGTGTCAAATTTTGAAGTTTAATTTGTAGAATTAGTGTAATATGATGATATAATATATGATAACAACTAATTAACGGATTACCCTAAGCTCTAGACCTCCAATTATGAGTTCTATGACTAAACCCCAAATTATAAATCCTAACCCTAACCCTAAATCTCTATACTCTAAATCCTTCAAATTAAAGTAAATCTTGAATGGCTTTTGTGAAAATTCATGTGCTTTATTGTTCATCACATCATAAGTGATGATTGACATCATTTTGACATAAATCGCATGTTTAAAATGACGGTTATGAAGTGAGTGCACTGAATGTACCAAAAAATGTGAGTGCACTGAAGACGCCACCATATATATATATATATATATATATATACCCTTACTGAGGGCAACTCCCCAAACCCTAATGCCTACACGTCCACCTGCATGGGCTACATGGGTTTGGTGTACAAAGAAATAAAGGCCAACAACAAAATACATGGGCTACGTAATTCCATGGGCAGGCTATGTAATTAAATAGGCTTTAACTCTGCTAACAGCTAGATGTGTGTTTGGTGCTACTTTTTTTTTATGGGAACCTGTATTCGATTCAGAAAATCACCCTCTGTTACATGGGTCGCGGCCCAGATCATCTTCCAAAAGAGCTAACAAAGAAAGGGGTGGATTGTCGGTCCACACCACTTGACGGTCCCAAACTGATCCCGAATGGGCCAACCAATGGGCAACCCTGTTCTTCTTTCTACCAGCAAACGACCAAACCACCTGGGAACCAGAAAAATCTTCGTTAACCTTCGCCAGCCTCAAAATTTCATCACACCAGTTTCCCAGCTCAGTGAAATCCGCTTCCTTCTTCTTCAGCTTATTGATGAGCACTTGACAATCTAACTCTATAATTAGGGGGCTCAAATTCTTCTGATTTGCTTCCACCAATCCCATCACCAACGCCCTAGCCTCCGCCTCTATCGGTCTGCAAGATCCCTTCTCCTTCTTCAAAGTAGCTCCAACAAAAGCACCCCTCCATTCTCTAAACACACATCCGAAACCCATTCCGCCATTTTGAAAAACACCTGCATCAGAGTTAAGCTTGACAACACCCACTGGGGGAGGGCTCCATTGATGGTTCTGGGAATCACTTTGCATCGCACCAGGGGCTATAGATCTGGGCGAAAGGTCTTGGGCCTCAAGATAGGAGTCGATCCATGAACGCTCGGGGGATGATATCGCATTCCTCGAGCTTGAGATTGTTGTACTTTTGGTTGCACCTCTCTTTCCATAGGAACCAAAGGATCGAGGTGAATTTATAGAT